AAGGGCAGGCATTAGGCCCACCTGTGGAACTCACTAGGCCACAGACAGTGTGACACACTGGAACAGCTGACATAGGAGACCTAGGCCGCATCCCAGGCCCCCACCTAACCCTCAAGCCTGGACCAGGGGCTGGGAAGGTGGCTCAGCGGTAGAGTGCTTGCCTCGCATGTATGAGGCCCTGGGTTCGATTCCTCAGCACCACATAAACAGAAAAGGCCGGAAGTGGCACTGTGGCTCAAGTGGTAGAGCACTAACCTTGAGCTGAGCTGAAGAGCTGAGGGACGGCGCCCAGGCCTAAGAGTTCAAGCCCCACAACCGACCAAAAAAAAAAAAGCTCAGGGAGCTGGGGGCTGGTGGCTCACACCTGTAACCCTAGCTACTCAAGAGGATTGCAGTTCAAAGCCAGCAAGGAAAATAAGGTCCATGAGACTCTTATCTCCTATGAACCACCAGAAAATTGGAAGTGGAGTTGTAGCTCAAAGTGGGAGAGTGCTTGCCTTGAGCAGAAGAGCTCAGGGACAGAGCCCAAGACCTGAGTTCAAGCCCTACAACTGACAAATAAAAATAAAAACCAGTGACAGTGACATGCTGGGTAGGTCACTGTCACCTCTTCTGCACAGGGTTCCCAGGTCCTGGCATCCCAAGGCCACTAAAGATCCCTCAGAGGGAGGAGGGAGGGAGTGGAAAGCTTATGTAATTGCCCATTATCTCCAGGACCTTTGCTCCCAGCCTGCCAGCTTAGGAAAAGCCTCCCTATTAGCAGAGTTGGGACTGAACATAAAAAAAAAAAAAAAAAAAAAAAAAGCAAAGAGAGAAAAGAAGAAAAAGGAAAAAACCCATTCAGCTTTTATTAAGGCTCAGACCCCCCCCTCACTTCCCACCCTCCCTTATAAACCAATAAAAACACAAGTAGAAGAACAAACACAGCTCATTTTGAGAAACTCAAAAATGCAACTCAAACTTTAAAAAGTAAATGGCACCCATCCACTGCCTGGCTGGAGGTTTCTCTGAGTTGGGGGGAAGGGAAAGGGGCACGGTGGCAGCATGGTGGGAGGGAGGGGAGGGGGCACTCAAAGGGTGTACAGTGGAACTAGTAGAATAGAAAGGGTTCCAAAAAAATTGTTTTTCAGCCAAGCACCAGTGGCCCCTAGCTATGCAGGAGGCTGAGCTCTGAGGATCCCGGTTGAAAGCCAGCCCTGGCAGTAAAGTCTGTGAGACTCCTATGTCCAATTAACCACCAGAAAACCGGAAGTGGAGCTGTGGCTCAAAGTGGTAGAGCACTAACCTTGAGCAAAAAAGTTCAGGGACAGCATCCAGGCCCTGAATCCAAGCCCTATACCTGATTTAAAAATAAATAAAATGGTACTGGTCCTAGGTATGGTCTCTTAGCTTTTTTGCTCAAGGCTAGTGCTCTACCACTTGAACCACAGCTCCACTTCTGATTTTGGGTGGTTAACTAGAGATAAGAGTCTCATGGGGAGCCGGGCGCTGGTGGCTCACGCCTGTAATCCTAGCTACTCAGGAGGCTGAGATCTGAGGATCGTGGTTCAAAGCCAGCCCAGGGGGCTGGGAAGGTGGCTCAGTGGTAGAGCGCTTGCCTTGCATGCCTGAGGCCCTGGGTTCGATTCCTCAGCACCACATAAGCAGAAAAAAAAAAGCCGGAAGTGGCGCTGTGGCTCAAGTGGTAGAGCGCTAGCCTTGAGCTGAAGAGCTGAGGGACAGCGCTCAGGCCCAGAGTTCAGGCCCCATGACCGGACCCCAAAAAAAAAAAAAAATTTAAGAAAATAAAAGAGTCTCATGGACTTTCTTACCTGGGCTTGCTTTGAACCTCAATCCTCAGATCTCAGCCTCCTGAATAGCTAGAATTATAGGCATGAGCCACAGCTGCCTGACCCAAAAAATAAATAAAAAGTTTTTTCTGTTGTGCTGGGGATGGAATTCACTGATGCACACATACTAGGCAAATACTTGCTCTACCATTGAGTTACATCCTCGACTCTGAAAACTGTTTTGCTTGGCAGGGGTAGGGAGGAGACTACAATGGCTCATGTTAAGACCTAAATCTCTGATGTTTAAGCCATCTACCAGTGAGCGTGGACTATAGCTATGTGGAGGAACACCCTAGCTCATTTCAGACTCCAGCCAATGGATGTGTTCACAAGCCTGCTGAGCCTGCATGGAATACAGATGTCCACCTCCACCAATCTAGGCCTTCTAGTGTACCCAGCGCCACGGCAAGCATTCTACTTTTGCTCCCCAGAGAGGACTGCAAGGCACGGGTTCCAGCTCAGCAGCAGGTGCTGCCACACAAGGTGCCTGCACAGGATCATTAGGGCGAGCTGGCTGTGCATGGGGCAGAGCCTGGGAGAAAAGGCTCAGTATGCCCGGCAAGCTCCCCTCCCCAGCCCCTGGCTCAGCAACTGTTGAGATACAGGGTGTGTAGGTGCTCACTCCGCAGTCTTCATCTGGAGGTAGAGGGGCACAGACCCACCTTTCAGAAGTGGGGCACCCAGGGGCTGGGCAAAGTTAACTGACTTGCCCAAGACTGATGAAGGAGCTGAGAGATTCAAACTCAAGCCGGGTCAGACCCTCCTGGGGGCCTGGGGGAGTGGGGTTATCAGCCATCTGCTCAGTAGCCACAGATAAGGAAGTAACACTTCCTATCTTGGGAGAAACAGGGCAAACCTGGGTCAGGAATCCGAACAGGGAATGGCCAGGGTACCTAGATTAATGACAACAGCCAGGGATGCAAGCTGGCCTTTGCCTAAGCAGCAGAGGAGTGTTGAAGACCCAACTCGGGCAAGGCTAGCAAGGATCTAGGCCTCCCCTTGCAGGACTGTAAAATGGGGATAACAAAACCTGGCCAGTGTTCCTGTGAAGACAGACTGAGGCCAGGTACTAAGGAACAATCCCACTCTCTTCTCTTGCCCCCACCTGAACAAAACACTGAGGGACACAGCCTCATCAACTCCCTGGCTCAGCCTTGACCTTCACCAACATAACACTCAAGTCCCAGTATTGAAAAACCCAGTTCCTAGGGGAAAGGCCCTTTCCTGTTTCCCGGAATTCGGCACTGACTGGAGGAAGAACATCTGGAGATGTTACAGACAGTCCTCTCTGTAACTGAAATTTGTAGTAACAATGCTGAGTTTTCATCCACCCCTCCCCGCCAGAGCAAAGCTTGGCGTCTACCAAGTTGGCAGCGGTCCCAAACCAGGGGACATGAGGGAAGCTGAAGGAACCCAACTCCACAGCCCTGACCTACCCCGCATGGGGGAAAGTTAGCATCTGGCCTGGTCCTCCACTCCTGCATTATTCACTGACGCAACTAGAACTCTGGACCATGCCCCGCAGTGTCTCCTTGCACAAAACACAACAGATCTGTTCCTGCGAAGAGATGGGGCCACTCAAGCGCTCTGGAGTCCTGCAGAGAATCGCTCTCGCCAAGTGTCATTGATGACGCAGCTGAAAGCCAGAAAGTCTGGCCACCAGACTGCAGTCATCTCCTCCTCCCTGCTTCACTTGGGGAAACTGAGGCCCAGAAAACTGACCCTCCCAAAGCCCCCAGGAAGAGGAGGCCAGAGGCTCAAATGCTCCAATAGTAGAGTGCACCCCTAACTGATGAAACAACTTTACTCTGAGTTTGGGGGGGGGGGAGGGGGGGCTGGCCTGAAGAAGCCTACAGTGGGAGGCCTGGTGAATGTAGAGTTACAGAGAAACCCGAGTTGCACTTGTAAGGTTACTAATCGGTAACAATATATCCATCCCTGAAGAGCCAGTCCTGCCCTGAACTGGCAAGCTCTGGATGGTAAATAAGGGGAACACCGCTGCACCAATGCCACCGCCCTGGGTCTAGTGTCCACCTGCCCGGACCTCAATATGCCTGCCAAAGCCAGTTGGCCACCAAACCAAAGAAAAAGCATCTCTTTGGGGCTTGCTGGGCGGTCACTTGGGGACCAGCAGTTCTCTAAGGTGTAGACACATTGTCTCTGTCTGAGTCAGAAAGGTCTGAGGACAAACAAGAGAGGGCAATTTATTCTCCACCATCACCCAAGCCTTCTAGGCCACTGCCACAGGAGTGGAAGCCCAGGCCCAACCAGGCAGGCGAGGAGGGGGGTTGGAAACAACAGAGAGCCAGGATGGGACAGAGTACATCAGAGGACTTCCAGAGACACCATCTGGAGGACACCTTTGGCACATAGCCAACATTATCAGGGACAAGTTGACAAAGCCACTGGGGAACATTCCAGAGGCCACATGTCCTCCCTCCCATCCACCCTGGCCACAGAAGACCACAGCACTTGATTTGTAAGGCAATCAACAGTTGTGTAAATCCCTTTCTGGGGCTTTATCCCCTTCTCAAGAGACGGATATGGCCCTCTCCAGTTTACAAATAAGGAAACTGAGGCACATAGAAGGAGAGGAGGAGGGGGGAGGGGGAGCAGAATCCATTCCAACTTCCTATCGTTTACTTAGAGGCTTGGTTGAGAAAAGTCCCCTGAAGTAAGTAAAGGGGAAAAGAAACCAAGAAGGCTTTTATCTTAGCCCAGGGAGCGCTGACTCAGCTGCCTCGAGATCTCAACGCAGCTGCCCGAGCTCCTGCCTAGGCCCACGAGACGCAGAGGAGGAATTCCAGCCACCGCACGCAGGTGGACTTGGGTTTAGGGGGATCCCCGCCCGCTGCTCCGAGGGGAGCAGTTACACCCCCTTTCTTCTTGCTACCGTGAAGAAGTCTCCCCATGCCCTGCAGGAATCTTCAAGGTAGGGTGACACACGTTCCCACCCCACCCCACCCCCACCCCGCCGGCCGCGCAGACACACCCACAACTCCGCAGCCAGGGAAAACTTTTCTGGGCTCACCTCGCCCTCCCTGCCCCCCACCCCGGGCCAGGCTGCGGATTCTAACACGCGCGGGGTGGGGGGGGGGGGGGGAGGTGTGGAGAAGAGGCTAGGAAGGGGGCAAACCACTTCTCAGCCCGGGCGCCCCCGGGCGTCCCTACCGTGTAAGCCGTTGGGGATACTGCGGTGGTGGGAAGGAGCCGACAGGTCGTCCAGGGAGCGGCGCGTGGCTCCGGCCTTGCCGTCGGGGCCCTTGTGCGGCCCGGGCGGCAGCAGCGCGGGCGGGACGTGGTGGTGCTGGTGGTGGAGGTGGAGGTGGTGGTGGTGATGGTGGTCCGGGCTGCCGCCGCTGCCCGCGCTGGACGTGCTGCTGCCGTCGCCCACGTCGCGGGCCCCCGAGCCCGCCGCGCCGCCCGCCAGGGGCCCGCTCAGGCTGGCCTGGCTGTCGATGGAGCTGCGGGAGCCCGCGCCGCCGCCGCCGCCGCCGCCGCCGCCCGCGCCGCCCGCGCCCGCGCCCCCGGCAGCCCCGGCGCCCCCCGCCGCCGCCAGCGCCGCGCGCTCCTCGTCGAGCAGCAGCACCAGCTCCTTGAGCTCCAGGTTCTCCCGCAGCAGGGCCTCCTGGCGGGCCTCGAGCTCCCGCAGCTTCTGCTGCGAGCGGGCCACCTCGTGCCACACGGCGCCCGCCGCGTGGCGCCCGAAGCGCTGCCACTCGCGCGCCAGCTTGCGCCCCTTCTGCCGGTCGTCGTCGAGGAAGCAGCAGAGCTCGCGCAGCTCCTGGTTGTCGTCCTGCAGCCGCTGGTTCACGTCCTTGAGCCCGCGGATCTCCAGCAGGTGCTGCTGGAGCCGCCGGTTCACGTCGCGCATCAGGCCGCCGTGCTCCAGCATGAGGCCCACCTTCTCGCCCTCGGCGCGCCGCAGCCGCCGCGCCAGCTCCTCCTTGGTCCAGCGCAGCAGCTCCTCGTCCGGCACCTGGCTGAGCTCCTCCGACGCCGCGGCCGCCGCCGCCGCCGCCGGGGGCTTCGCCATGGCGGGGCCGTCACCGCGGCATCGCCCTCCCTCAGCCGGGGCCGGCGATCCCCGCGCCGGGGCTTCTCTGGGCCGGTCCGCGCGCGGCCGGGGAGCGGCCGGGGGCGCGTGCGGCCCGCACCGCGCCGCGCCTCCCGGAGCGCCCTCACGGAACACCCTCGCCTGGGCCGGAGCCCGCGCGCCTCGGGGGCTCGGGAGCCGGGAGGGCCGCTGCGTCGGCGGCCGCCGTGCCGGGGCTCCGCGGGCTCGGGTGAAGCAGGCGAGGCCCGCCCCCGGCCCAGCTCCCGGAGCCCCGACCGCCCCGCCCACCGCGGGCGGGGAAGCAGGGGGCGGGGCGGCGCGGCTGGCCCCGCCTCCGGAGAGAGGCTGAGGAACGGCGGAGGAGGCCGTCCCCCACTCCCCCGTCGTCCGGCCCGATGGACCCGTCCGCCTGCCCGGCGCCCAACCAGAGACGCGGGAGCGCCTCGGTCCCGCCCTTCAGGCCGTCCGATTGGGCCTCCCCGGGGGTGTGCGGGAGGGGCGGGGCGCGCGCGGGGGGAGCTGCGGACTTGGTACGGTCCGGGCGCCGGGCTTCCGACCCCCTCCCGGCGGCTCAAGTTTCTGCGCGGAGAGGACGCGGCCTGGGCCAATCCCGGGGCTACAGGGCGCTTTTAAAATGCAGGTAGGGCTGGGGGAGGGGCGGGCCGCGGTGGGAAAGGTAGGGCCGGGTCCCCTTAAAGGCGACGCGCGGAAGCGGGAGCCGGCCCCTCCCGTCCCCGCGTCTGCCTTTATCGCCCCCGAGTAAACAAACGCCCTGGGTCTGGGCCGCGGCTCCCCTCTCCCTCCGGGAGCACCCGACTTCCGCACGGTAGGAAACGGGATGAACAATAGAAGTCTGACGTGGGGGCCGGGAGGGGCCGCTCTTTGTCCCCTCTCCGTCCCCGGGCTCCTGCGCCCCGGCCTCTCCACCCCCGGCTTGCCCGCCGCCCGAGCGCGCCGCCCGGCCGCCTTCCCTCTCCCAGCCCCGGGCTCCGGGTCCTCGAGTCCGCCACGCGGACGGACGCGGCCTCGCCAGCCGAGTCCCGGAGCGAGGTCCGCGCCGCCCCGGTCCCGAGGAGGCCGGAGAGCACCGGGCACTCGCTCGGAGCCCCGCGGCTGCGCTCGCTCCACCGCTCCGAGTCCCTGGGATCTGGGGCGGATCTGCGACGTGCGAAGTGGGAACCGCTGGGCAAGGGGGGCGGGGGAGGAGGACTCTCCCACTCGGACCCCAAAGCGGGGGTTCGGAGGCGCCCAGCTGGCCGCAAAACCCCCGCCCGCAGCCGTGCGGGGCGCCCGGAGCGCCGGTCACCGGAGCGCATTCACAGCGGGCCTGAAGCCGGGGGGCCGGGGAGGGGGGTCCTCCCTCCGGACCTGCACAGAGGTTTCTAAATAAATAACGAACGAATGAATGAATGAAGAGGCGCCCGCCACCCCCGGCCGCTAGCCCGCCCGGCCGCCGGCCGCCCTCCCCGTCTACGGTTGCTCGGCCCAACCGTTCACTGAACAACGGTGCCAGGCCTGGCCTCGCCCCCGCCCCCTCCCCGGCCCCCGGTATTCGGCGGGGACCACTGCCCTCTGGGGGCACTTGATGTTCTGGAAAGAGGGGAAAATAATAAATAAAATAACGGTGAGAATCTCTGCAGCACCACGCGGGGAATTCAGTTGACTTTTGGAGCTCCATGGTCAGAGAGGGACTCGGGGACCTAGAAGCGGAGCTCTGAGCCACCAGGACAGTTCTAGGTGGAGGGAACCGCTCGTGCAAAGTCCCTGGGGTTGTCCTGTTATTGGCCTGTTCAAGTAGCCAAGTGGAGCAGAAGGTGGACCAGAGGTCAGGCGCTGGCTCCTGTGTGGTCTAAGACTGCTAAATAAAGCCAGGGGTTATCAAGGAAGGGGTGAATTAGAATTAGTAGTACAACCTGTTAAGAGGCTCACCTTGCCTCGTGTGTGAAGAAGAGACGTGGGCAGGCCTGAGAGAAGTCCAGATTAAGTGCTCATTCACGCACACACACAAACACACACACACACACACCCTAACATCCTGAGTTCAAGCCCAGGACTGGCACATTAAAGGCCGGTGGTATGAGAGGCCAAGGCTAGAGAAGAGGGACTTCCAAGCCAGAGCTCCCTCCCTGGAGGACTCTAGACCCCAGAATCCAACCACAAGTGCTGTAGCCCCACGCCACCCCCAGAACACTCATAGCCCCACAGAACCAGGATCCTGAAAGAGCCAGAAACAGTGCATCACTCCTCAGTCATGAAAACAGTAAAAGTAAATCATGGAGCCGGGTGCTGGTGGCTTACACCTGTAATCCTAATACTCAGAAGGCTGAGGATTTTAGCTCAAAACCAACCTGGGCAGGAAAGTCCGTGATCAGTGAGACTCTTATCTCCAGTTAACCACCAAAAAAAGCCAGAAGTAGAGCTATGGCTCAGTGATAGAGCCGTAGCCTTGAGCATAAAAGCTCAGACAGTGCCTAAGCCCTGAGTTCAAGCCCCAGGACTAGCACATATGTGTGTGTGTGTGTGTGTGTGTGTGTGTGTGCGCAAAGAGTATATGTACATACATATATATATATATATATATATATATATATACTCTTTGTCCATAACCTTGGTAATAACAATTTTAATTTTTAATTCACACACAAAAAAATAATGGATGGGCTGGGAAGGTGGCTCAGTGGTAGAGTGCTTGCCTTGCATGCATGAGGCCCTGGGTTCGATTCCTCAGCACCACATAAGCAGAAAAAGCCAGAAGTGGCGCTGTGGCTCAAATGGTAGAGTGCTAGCCTTCAGCTGAAGAGCTGAGGGACAGCGCCCAGGCCCAGAGCTCAGGCCCCATGACTGGCAAAAAAAAAAAAAAATGGACCTCTGACCCGGTAATTCTCGAGGTGCTCAGGAAAAGCAGTAGTAAAGCCAGGTGTTGGTAGCTCATGCCTGCAAGCTTAGCTATTTAGGAGACTAAAATCTGATGATTGTGATTCAAAGCCGGCCCAGCCAGGAAATCCTTGAGACACCTCCAGTTAACCAACAGAAAACTGAAGTGGAGCTCAGGCTCAAAGTGGTAGAACTCCAGCCTTAAGCAAGAGAGCTCAGGAACACACAGCTCAAGCCCTGAGTGCAAGCCCCATAACCACCAAAAAAAAAAAAAAAGCACTTGTGAATCTTTAATAATATCAACCCCACCCCCCCTTCCCCAAAGTCTCAAGCACAGGAAGGTACCCATGTGAGTCACACAAATGTTTTTTAAGAGTGAGCTGGGATTGAGATGCCAACACATTAGGGTTGGGGATCTAGCTCAGTGGATAAGCTTGGCTCTGGGAGAAAAAAAAAAAAATATTGGCACATGGCAAACAAAATTCTCCAAAGCCTAGGGTGGAAGGGGGAGTGTGAACATGAGCATCCAGAGTGTAAGGACACTGCACTCGCACTGTGAGGGGAAGGGGCTCTTAAAACATTCTGAGCTTGGCAAATTGGACATCTTATTTTAAGAGTGAGGAAACTCTGCTGAGGGCCTAGAAATTATCACCTAAGCAAACCCTGTAACTACCTTATAAGCGGCATGAGTCATGTTGCACTATATCTGTGCATGTGTGACAGCATCGATTTAATAGCTACACACATTGCAGGTAAGTCTCACCTCCTCCTTTATCCTCTCAAGCAATGAGTCCCTCAAGTATTTGGTCTGGATTCGTTTTTTGTTTCCCCCTAACACCCCTCACCCCATACTCAGAACCTAGATGCTGTCCCTAAGCATTTTTTAAATTTAATTTAATTTTATTGTAAAAGTGATGTATAGAGGGGTTACAGTCACATAACCTAGGTAATGAGTACATGTCTTGTCAAACATTGTTGCCCCCTCCCTTGTTTTCTCCCACTTTCCCTCTCCCCCCAACTCCCCTCCAAGTTGTAAAACTCATTTCCAATGTCCTGTGAGTATAACTATTGCATTGGTTTACCCTCTGTGCCTTGTCTCACCATTTTGTTATTTCTCTTCCCTTCCCTTCCCCAAATCAGATAAACATATATACAAGACACAGGGTACCAAAATCAAAAACAATGACTACAGGAGATAAACCAAAGAGGGGGAGGAATAACTTAGGGCTGGGAAGGTGGCTCAGTGGTAGAGTGCTTGCCTTGCATGCATGAGGTCCTGGGTTCAATTCCTCAGCACCCCATAAGCAGAAAAAAGCTGGAAGTGGTGCTCTGGCTCAAATGGTAGAGCACTTGCCTTGAACTGAAGAGCTGAGGGACAGCGCCGAGGCCCAGAGTTCAGGCCTCACAACTGACAAAAAAAAAAAAACGACACAGTACATTTTAAAAAGGGGGAGGATAAGGGCTGGAAATGTGGCTTAGTGACAGAGTACTTACCTAGCATGCATGAAGCCCTGAGTTCAACTCCTCAGTACCACATACACAGAAAAAGCCAGAAGTGGTGCTGTGGCTCAAGTGGTACTCTTGAGTGAAAGAAGCTCAGGGACAGTGCCCAGGCCCTGAGTTCAAGCCCCAGGACTGGAAAAAAGAATTTGTTTCCATATCTCAGAGTTTATTTCGATTAGCATCATTTTATATGGTCATATGTTCATAGCTATTGAGCTATTGTGATCCTCTGCTAGGACTATCCTAGACATATACTAATTATTACAAATGAGGGAGACCATGGAACCTATGCTGCTTTGGGTCTGGTTTACTTCACTTAAGATGATTTTTTTCCAAGTCTTTCCATTTCCCTGTGAGTGGGGTAATGTTATTCTTTCTGATGGAAGCATAGAATTCCATTGTGTATATAGACTACATTTTCTTTTTCTTTTCTTTTTCATTTTTTTTTTTTTGGGGGGGGGACGGAGGTCCAGTCGTGGGGCCTGAACTCTAGGCCTGGGTGCTGTCCCTCAGCTCTTCAGCTCAAGGCTAGCGCTCTACCACTTGAACCACAGTGCCACTTCCAGCTTTTTTCTTTTTGCTTATGTGGTGCTGAGGAATCGAACCCAGGGCCTCAGGCATGCAAGGCGAGTGCTCTACTACA